GGTAGACTAATTTACAAGAGACAAATACAAAATTATCATTTTCGTAAAGATTTTTTTCAGTAAATAAGCAAAACATATAAACCACCTATTTTGCTTCGCAAGTTATAGGTAATAACTGTCTTTTTATTGGTATATTTTTATTTTATTTCGTGATATTGACTTATTTTAAATAGCCGTGATATTTTTAGCACATTTTTGCACAAAAAAAAAGAAAAAACTATTTTTTACAAAATACAAATATGTAAACTTCATATTTGTTCAAAATTACGAAAAAAGTCTCAAAACACTTTTTCGTTCTTTGTGTAATCTGTAAAATTTTTATCTATTTTTTCAAAACCACCATATACAAGATATTGGAACATACGAAAATACTCTTTAGTGACAAAAAGTGCGTTAAAAAATATGACATTAATAAACCAATTATTAAAAATAAAAAATTAATTAGCGCATATTTTTATAAATTTGTAACATTCTTCTCACATTAATCAATGAAAAAATGCACTAAACATTACAGAAGTTTTTTATAAACAAATGATATTGAAATAATGTGTGAATCTGATATTAAAATTGTTCAAATGGAGCAGTGTACTCCTCCAGAAGTAAGAGATACTGCTACAGAAGCAATTGAATACTAATTTAGCAAAATATTATGCGTAACTTGACAATTAAAAAAAAATTCTGAGTAATTTTGTAATCTTAACGTTGGCAAACCTGCATATTACCGCCCAAGGGATAAAATGATATTACTGCTCACGAGATTTAATAATGTGTTTTCCAACCTTTAAATGGTTGTCATATTACATTAGTTATTCTGAATAAAATAATATAAATACTACTAAAAATACTATATTATAATTAAAGTAATAAAAATTAATGTTTGTTGGAATGTTGTAGTATTTCTCGGGACCTCTAGAATATACCACCGTAATGTTATAATTTAAATTTAAATTTTAAACAAAACCCTATAATTACTCCTACTTAACGATAGTTTAGCCCATTTGTTTGAAATTTAATTTCACGTGGACCATTAATTTTATTCCATTTATCAAAAATAATGATCACCATAAAATTTAAGGTTTGGCTTTTTGCAATGGACAATTGATTTTAACCAAACAATAATGGAGTCGGTATTTTACTCATCCATTGTATCATGTTGGAAACTACTCCGTCAACTGATTTTTTAAATCTGAATCCGCACCACATTTCGGTGACATTTTGCAAACGAAAAACCGCGTCCATTAAACTCGAATCAGTACAAAAAAACAAAATACTTTTATAACGCTTGATCAAATCCTCGGACTTGTCATCGACGTCTTTCACGCGTGAAATTCAACCTCAACACGTTGACAAATTTTGTCTTAAAATGACAAGTCGAAGCTTTTTCGAATGGAATTGTGCTGAGACGATAAAACTACTTCCACGACCATCAATTACCTGAGCTTTTCGGCCAACGTCAGCGCCAAAAGCTCGTATTTATAATATTTTTTAAGCACCATCAACTCTTGTGGCAATTGTGAATAGCATCTGCGCCAAATAGGAATCCATAAATACGCAGCTGGCACAAGGTGACCCGGCTTTAGGGCTGATATTTAATTTTCAGTCCTGTGTACCGGAGCTGAAATAAAATATTTGTGGTTTCAAGCTGCTACGGCCTGACGAGCACTAAATTTCTTACAACCCAATTACATAGTTATAGTGCAAAGCGCGGCTTTCGTCAAATCATCCTCTAACCTGGTTTAGGTTGAAAAATTCATCTTTGTAACGCCACCTTTTCAATCTTTTGATGTTGATAATGGTATTAGTTGCTCGAAAGCATTAAACTGCTTGCAGACAAAGCATTTGTGAGCTAATGCGTTTAGTTTCAATTTCAAAATTAACTACGATAAAGGTGGGTTAGTGTCGTTGGACCCTGGGATATGCATGCTATCGGTCAAAGACATTGGGTGGGATCCCCCTAATGGGAATGTTCATTTATTCCAGACACATCCCGAATTTTTAATCAAAGTAAATAGTTTGTTTTGGCGAGATTATGACAGGGTTTAGGGTGTGAACAACGTCGGAAAGCTAATGACACAAAATCATTTAAATTAAATTAAATATTAAAACAAGACAATTAGGAATTTTGATCTTTAAATAAAAATTTCAAGAAATGGGATATCTGGTTTACCCTTGATTTCTCCTGTATAATAAAGTTAAAATAGGGATCTATGAATGATTGTAGTCTCGTAATAGGCTGTCAAATCGTAAATGTCTTTGCTGTTGCGCCCAAATGTTAAACGATTCCGGGTGACATTACAAAAGAGCCAATTTAGAGAGAAAATTTATGCCTAGCACTTTGTTAGTCATTACGTTTGCACGGTTTTAGGAAATTGCAAAAAAACTTACCTCATCATAGAAGTTTTTTCAAAATTATTAAGCATCGAGAATGGTAAATTAGAGATCGGTAAAAGATCGGTAAGTCCTTAACGTTCGTGATTGCGCAAAAAATATTTTTTATTATGTTCAACTCAATCAGTTTTGAAACTAGCGACCTTACTCCAGTTATCTATTGAAGGATACACCACCATATTCACTATTTTTGTGAATTAAATCACCGATATAATTTGCCTCATTTTGTGCATTGGATTGGAAAAAAAATATGAATTACTTATCACACATGGTAAAAATGCAAATATGCAGAAAAGACAGATTATACGTATTTATTAATAATTAAATTTAATTAATGAAAATACTTGTAATGTATTGTAACCTATTTATTCACAAAACCTATTTATTCAAAAATCGACGCGAATATAAAATGAATGAGCAAAAACTCGTCTGGTTCAGTCTCATTAAGTTTTTACACATTGATTTTATATACAGGGTGACCCAAGGGTGCTATATAACTTTTTTTCTATCCAAGCTGCCGACTTGATTTTTTTTTAAATAGTAGGTCCGATAACGAATCACATTTCAAAAATATATTTATTTAATACAGAATGTCCCAAAATAAGATACACAACTAGGTTTTGTTTTTTAAAATAATAATCTTCAAYTGTTTGTTGCATTTTTGAATTAGACTTATCTGTAATAGTTTTTGACTTATGTCAATTTATGTGTCAAAATTGCGTCGTGCATAAACCCACAGAAAAATTCATAACTTCAGAACCATTTAAAATAACTTAAAATGTTGAGTAAAATTTTGAATGGCACACGTGTGTTATTACTAGTGTTAGGCGATTCGAAGAATAAAATATTGTATTCAATTCGTCTTTGTGTAAATCGGTTCATTTTTTCCACCTCGTGGTTGATAAACTCGTTTAATAATCCTCTCGTAAAATAAAGCGTCCGATTTACACTCAAACTCGTCGAATAAATAACTATAATTTCATTGCAAATTCCATTTGATTTTGATTCTTTTGTACAGAGTGATACAAAAAACTTTTTAAAATAAAACAAAACACTCAGATTTGATTAAATTTATTCTGTAATCGCATATTCATTTAAGCTTTTAACTTTTTTGTATTATAATTTTGTATGTACTTCAGTGAAGAAAAACTTTTTAGGGAGTCTGTATAAATTTCCCAATAGCAGCAACATAATTTTATGACAGCTTTATCTCTCGCTTTCTATTATGAGTCCCAAAATACTATTAAGAGAAGTGGGTGTAAAATGGCCTATAGGGTTAAATTTGCTCCTATAGTAAAAGAAATATACTGATTTAAATCTTGAAGTAAAGCTCTAAACGATCAATAAAAAAATTATTAAGCTTTATAGACACTCTTATCTTCTTTCACTTTCACATTTTTTTTGCAATCTAAGAAATATTGTAATCAAATTTCCTTCTCTTTATATTTTAGTTTAGCTCAATTTTTTGACTCATTTTTTTTTAAAGTAGCAATAACAAAGTACAACACGCTGTCCCAGTAATATTGCCACTATGAGTGGCTGTTATAGAAAACACGAACGGCAAGAATTCAAAATAAACTCTCATCCCTTACCATTTCTTCCCCAGCGAGTTATAAATAAATTTAAATAGTGTTCATGTTTTATAAAAGTAGAAAATAACTACAAGCTGATTTAAGGAAAGATTTTATATACACGAATGTGGAGCTCAAAGGCTTATTTTGTTTTAAGTTTGGATCTGGTAAAAGTTTTCAGATAAATTTAGTTCAAGTGGGAGGAAGATAAACTCGGAAAATAAGTGGTTTTATTAAATTCTAAAAATGTTTCTGTATTGTCRTTATCACCTAATAGTCTGGACTATTGAAA